GGAGCAGAGTAGATTTCATCACCATTACTTCTGTCATTTTATCAATGCATGGCCCATAGGAATTATGTGTAAGAAACACTTTTTAATCTTGGTTTAAAAAGAAAAGTGTGTTATAGCCTGTTTATGCTGTTAATATTTAGAACATCTTATGGAAAATAAATTCCATTGTTTTGAAGATGAAGAACTTTTAAAGAAGGTTCTAGCTTGAAACTGAAACTAGATATCTGTCTATTTAGGTTTTTGCTGTTCGATCTGGTGGAGCTACTGGGGTAGTAGTCAAAGGCTTGGAAGACCGCAATCCGATCTCATTTAGGTGATATAAATGCATCCTGAATGCTGTTTTCTTTTTTTTTTTTGACAGCTAATTGTATTGTGTTGCAAACTTTTGCAAATACAAATATATCATACTGTTCAAAGGATATTTCTTCTTATTGTAAGTTGTCTTTCACTATGTATTTTCTTTAACTAGTAAATGACAACGATTTTAAAATACACTAAACTCAAGAATATGAATGTAATCACTTTTATTTTATTTTGAGTACATGCATTAGTAAAACTTGATACTGTAAAATACATGAAATTAGAAGTATAGTTAGGGACAATAATACATCAATCTGCAGTGCCCAATTTATTTGATTCCCTATTTATTAAAATTAGTTTGATAAAGACTGTTCTACTGAGCTATTCTGATTACGGTAATATGAAGAGTTCCCAAATAGCACTCTGACATCCTACTAGGATTTAGTCTACACAAATGTCTACACAAAATGCAGGCTCTTTGAATCTAAACTTAATATGTATATCCCTATATCATGCTGATTAAATCCAGCATTATGGGCACCTCTGCACTTTGTGAATATTAGGTAAAAGTTGGGCAGTCAAGCATAGCTTTCTTTTTCTACTGCACAGCCTTCTGTGCAGGAATGTAGTGTTAATCCAACATACAGACTTTTCTTATTGTTGAAAAAATATCCTTGTAGAAGATTTGAAGCACAGAGAAGGTCTGTTTGCGGTTGTTTTCATTTAATCCTAACAGATCTTAACAGCTTATTTTATTGAAACTGGGACAGATGGGGTTTATGACCTCTATCAAGAGTAGTCAAGGGTTGGATCCCACGCATAATTTTCACATATTTTTTCACATTACATTTTATTAAAGGTAAAACTTTTAAAGCCTCTGCTTAAATACTGTTAGCTTGCATAAAGGAATTTGATCATAACTACGTTTCTAAATAATCATAAGAATGGAAGAGTTGATTTAACTTTGAAAAATTATATACGCAAATATTTCTCCTATTTTTCCCCTTATGAAATCTTCAATTTGAATCAGCTTTGAAATAGTATTTCAAAATAACATCAAATGGGTGTTGAATACTTAGCCTTCTCAGACCATACAAACAAATGAATCCTTTCAGTTTGTCCCAGATATTTTAGCAGCTATCATTTATTCCTGTACAAGAGTGAGATCACCGCAATTGTGGGATGATAGATGTAGCACCATCCTCATTTCATCCACAATGTGGAATTGTTCATCCCCTGCATAGTGCTCATGAGAATGCAGTATAGCTAAACCTAGAGAAACATAATCAGATCATCTTGAACTTTATGCTATAGCATATAGCAATATGTTGACATCTTTGCAACTCAACATATTTTTTCCTACATGTTATTTCTTGTTTTTGGCTTTTGAAATAACTAATATAACAATGCTATCTATATATTACTAAAAGTTTTGTTGTCGTGACTTTAAACTGGGGGAAACGATGCATCATGCATCATCCCTTCCCCACTGGGCAGAAGCCACTTAGCTTCCTTTTGGCCTTGAACTTGCAACTTCTTGCTGGTTTCTCTCTGGAAGCTTCTCATAAGCAAAGTACAGTAAATGGGAAAGTGAGGGAAGTAAATGGGAAAGAAGGAAAGACAAAAGGGAAGACGGAAGGGAAGGGAAGGGAAGGGAAGGAGGGAAGGGAAAGGAAAGGAAAGGCAGGCAGACAGGCTTCTGATGTTCCCTGTCAGTTTACGACAAGGAAACCCAATCGGGAAGGAAGTCAGAAGCCACTTTTGCTCCTACTACTCTTTTGCCTACCTGTGCTGATTCTCTTTTCTGTTTAGGTAAAGAAATATCTCTGAAATGATGACCCAACAAGGCACAGGTTATCTAGCAACCACTAAACTCCACGTCCTTTGGAATGAACATGGATATTAGGGATCAGCAATCATTCTTCCCCTTGTTTAATTTTATTGAACTTCAAAACTATTACAATTAACATTTTAAAAAGTCCCTTCAGATAATTTAAACTAATTTCTACCAGTCTAGGCCAGCATGTCTGTTGTTGAGATACTGTAGAAATTAATCAGAGACATGTTCTGTATCTAAAATACAGAAATGAATTCTATATTTGTAGAATGGAAGACAAAGGAGAAGTGAAATGCATCAAGTTTTCTTTGGGCAATAAGATACTGGCTGTTCAGAGAACATTGAAGAGTGTGGTAAGAAATATCTTTCTTAAAATAGAAAGAAGCAAGTTAAAAAAAATATTCAAACAATATATACTATTTATTATTTGCTTATTATTAAATAAATTATAAATGTTTGATATGTTGGGATTGGTTTTCCTTTCCACCACCATATTTGTTCATTTTTTTATTACTGTATGTACATAGTATTATAAACTACTTAGAGATGTGGTTGTTTGAGAAAGGAATACATAAAATAACATAATGTTAAGTAGAATTAGAAATAGATAGGTGAGATAACCTTCATTTATATAGGCAATGTTCCGGCTATAGCTAATAGTAATTATAAACTTATTTGGAACCAATTCAAAAAGGAATACAACATATTAGAAATATGTGGGAGTACTTCTGACCATATGTCTGGTCCTTATCAAATAATAATTGATTCAGTCTGTAGGGTTTCCTTTAAAGAGGAAGAATAATACAAACTGCTGCAAATGGAATCAGAAACTGGTAGTGATTTTTATGAAAACTATTTGAAAAACTTTCAATTTACCTATTTAGATTTGCATCTTTGAATTATGTTATATTGTATTAAATGTATTTTCTCATCTATTTTAATCATTAACTTTTTACTTATGTAAACTTTCATCCTTTCAATTTCTATTCCATTTGTATTATAGTTCAAAGATAGTTGAAGAAAATATTCAAGCAGAAAATATGCTTATACATCTCTGTGTACTTACATCATTCTTTTGAGTAGATTACTGAAGTCTGACATTTGCAGACTCATGCATTAAATGGATAAAAATCCATGTATTAGATATGCCTATCTCTGCACAGGTTGAGCCCACAAATATTTTTAATTGCTGCTGTTTTTCATGTCATTACAGGATTTCCTGAACTTCATTCCAGACAGCCCACAATTAGAATACACTCAAGAATGCAAGGTACAGTACACATGACAAAATACTAAACTACTAAACTAAAGCAATCCCTCAGCATATTGAAGCATTCATTATTCTAACAGTGTGACATCTACAGTAGCATTATATTAGTATTCTGAAAAGTTGTAACTGCATTTAAGCGTTTCATTAAAACGCTTCAGATGTTAGTTTCCCTTCCTCCCAGTCAGCGTGCTAGCCTGAAACAAAATGGCAATTAAAATTGGTTACTTTGCAAGCATAACTACTTATAGTGAAAAGAAAAAGCTTGTCCAAGTAGTTAGAGGAGTAATAACATTGCTTAGCTGCAAGAATTAAAATCCTTCTACCCATTGTTAATCAACTGCTAACAGAGTGCCTTGTGCACTTAAGACTGGGTAGTTATAATATGCTTTTCTTGGGGCTACTTTGGGAATTGGCCTAGAACAGTGATGGCTAACCTTTTCTGGACCAAGTGCTGAAAGCCCGCACGCACGTACCCAAAACCCGAACACACGTGCCCAAACCCCCAAAATGCAATGTGCGCAGCCCCTGCTTATGCGCCTTGCCCTGCGCATGCGCACATGTCCCCTGCATGCGCTCCTGCGCATGCGCTGCAAAAACCTGAAGATCAGCTGGCTGGCAGGAGGCACGTGCCCACAGAGAGGGCGCTGCGTGCCACCTCTGGCACGCATGCCATAGGTTCACCATCACGGGCCTAGAAGCTGCATCTAGTATAAAAAGCTATAGCTAAGCTGTTAAAGAATGTCCAAAATATATTACACTTGTTCTGAAAGTGCTTCTTTTGGGTGCTACATAATATGCTATGTAAACATTAAAGCTGCTTATGTTGATATATAAAATCCTCTACAGGATTGTGTTTTTATTTATGAATCCACTTAGACAAGATCTCCAAATACTGTCTTGAAAGTGCATTTGCCAGTGATTTGCTGTATGGCAAACTGAGGCAGGGCATTTTTAAAATTTGTTGTGCTGCTTTTTAAACATTTAAAAGGAAAAGTAGAAAAAGGTTTTAAAAGGAGATATATAAACTGATTTTACTTTACATGACAGTGTATGCCTATTTCAATTAAACACTATTTTTTTTATTAAAGACTAAGAATGCCAGTATTTTAGGATTCTGTTGGACAGGCTCTGCAGAGATCGTTTTCATAACAGATCAGGGAATTGAGTTTTACCAGGTAAGTAAAAATATACATACCTTTAAAAAAAAAAGTCGGCTAACTTGTTTAAGGTATTGAGTCATCTTAAAGGATTACCGGTAAATGGTTTTATAGTTCATTGTGGGTAAGATATGTTTGTTTTGGTTTGTGAAATCTGTTTAATTCTCATAAACCTACTAGAAATAAGCTTCAGTTTTTTCAAGAAAGATATTATAGTCTGAAAACAAACCTTTTTAGCTAAGTAATATTTTAGTAAGAAAAATCATTGATTCTGCAAAAAAAAATTAGACATATAAGATACTTGCTGTATTACACAAAATGTCTCTTTACTATTAAAATTCATGTCTGTTTTGAGTGTTTCACCTTCAATTGACCAAAATTGGAAGGTATAGTGCAATAATTATTAAACCAAAGTAACTCAAATAGGCTAACTTACGAAATGCTGGGATTCATGACTCCCATGGGTATGAAATTTGGGGAAGTTGTTGCTGCTTCAAGTATTGCTGGGCTGTCACAGTCAGCTGTGGTTACATGATCCTTATTTCCATGACAGCCTCTCATAAGGCAAAGGAAAAGCCAGCAGGAACTGTAAAGTCCATTGTGACTGCTGATGCTGCCTGCCACCTTCCCACTAGCAAAGCCTTTGGTTCTGGGAAGATGACAGGGAAAGTTGAGAATCAAGAAGCTGGCAGGGAAGGTTGCAAGTTGCTTGGACATCTCTTCTGTGCAACCTCCTCAGCCTCTCTGCACTTGCTCTGCAACTGCTACTCACTCGCAATCTACTCACTCCCCAAAACAATAGTCTAAATCAGAGTCCTGTAAGAACTTCACAAAAGTAAAGTGCTAATTGTTTTAATTTGTCTGTAGTCAATCAGGGAAGCACCCACTGCAGCAGTTTTCAAAATCTGAAGTTTTTAAAAACAAATTATTTCATTTTTGCCGTTGTAAACTATATAGACAGTTTGAAAATATTCATTATATAGGTGTGATTATAACCTTTATATGTTCAGGTATTACCGGAGAAACGAACATTAAAGCTTTTGAAGAGTCAGAATATTAACGTAAACTGGTTTATGTACTGTCCTGAGAGTTCTGTCATTCTGTTGTCAACAACAGTAGTTGGAAATGTTCTCCAGCCATTCTATTTCAAGGTAAAATAATATTACTGCAGTCAATGCAAGTTTCCATGGTTACCTTGCACAATTGTCCCAAGGTATTTATGTTTAATACATAAGAAGTACATTTCAAATTGTTGTAGTCCTTTCTGTCTAAAATATGCATTTTAAGTAAATATACTAATTCAGATACCCAACTGCAAATTAGTTTCACAAATTTTGCATTAGGAAACAAAAATCATTTGATTTTCAGATGGGTTAAATGTGTTCAGATGTGTTTTAGATGGCCTAAAGCACTGCAAACAAAAAAAAATATGTGGGTGTTTTTTTTTTAGATTATATTTTGCTGGAACATGTTATAGAATGGTAATAAATACAATGAAATGTGAAGGAGTTACATAGAATTAAATGCAGTACTTTTCACATAGGGTGGAGCTATGTCAAAGCTGTCAAAGTTTGAAATTGAGTTACCTACAGCACCAAAGTCCTCCAAGCTCAGCCTTTCTGAAAGAGATATTGCTTTGACTACAATGTAAGTATATAATTGTGGTTCTTTCCCAACCAAGATGCTGTGGTTTCCTTTTCTTGAACTATAGATTGTCTTCTTCTTGAAGACATAAGCAACATTTTCTTGATCAGTAGAATCGACTCCATTTGAAGTCACTTTTGAGTCAATTAACTTGAATAGAGTAGAGAAGAAATGGGCAAATAAGCAAACAAAACTAAAATTCCCAATCGAGCACCTTATTACACGTGGCATTCTTTTAAAAACTGCTTTGAAAAATCATAGAAATTATTTGTAAGAATAGCTTGTAAGTGAACAGAATGATCTCCATATGACTTTGAGAAGATGAAATAAGTCCATCTGTAATTTATTCAGAAAAAATAAAAATGCTTTTTAATTTTCTTACGAATTATTTCACAGGCAAGAGAGCCATTTTGATCTCACAGCGAAGGTGTCTGATTAGAAGTAAGGAATCCTGTATTTTAGTCTTGCCTTAATAGTGGAAGCTGGCTTCTTCCATTTTGGTCCAGTCATTCTCTTTCAACTCTTAAGAAGAAGGCAAGGGCAAGCATCAAGAGAGACACATGCAATCTACATTAGCCAGAGAAAGGAAGATAGCAATAGCACTTAGACTTATATATCATTTCATAGTGCTTTTACAGCCCTCTCTAAGTGGTTTACAGAGTCAGCATATTGCCCCCAACAATCTGGGTCCTAATTTTACCCACCTCAGAAGGAGGGAAGGCTGAGTCAACCTTGAGCCTGGTGAGATTTGATCTGCCAAATTGCCGGCAACCGGGATTCAGCAGAAGTAGCCTGCAGTATTACATTCTAACCACTGCGCCACCATGCTCTGAAGCCCCTAAAGATGGCCCCTAAAGTGAGGAATCAGCCAACTGTTTTTTCTGAGGGAAAACTTGGGGTAGCTCTCTGTAACTATGTGAGGAAAAGACATCTGGCCACCGCCCCCACCCCCCACAGTGGTGGTGATGTCTGAGCATCTGAATTTATCAGGTGACACAATACATTCACAAGAAATGCCTTTAGTTTCTTACACTATTTATTACTCTGTTGCATTCTGCCAAAATAGCTTGTCCTGAAAGAAAACAGCATGATGGGATTATATAAACGTTATCTACTCAGAAGTTAAAAATCTATTATGTTTCTTTAGATATGGGCAACTTTATGTTCTTTACTTGAGACACCACTCAAGGACTTCAAACAGTACGGGTGCTGAAGTAGTTCTTTATCATTTGCCAAGGTAAATTTGTTGAGTCTTATCCTTTTCAGATTTCATAACAACTATTAAAAAGTGACTACTAAGGTTGCTGATTAACGTTCTTTTTCTTTGCCAATTAATGTTACCACAGGGAAGGCTCATGTAAGAAATTGCATATATTGAAGTTATATAGGACTGGGAAGTTTGCACTGAACGTTGTGGATAATTTAGTGGTAGTTCATCATCAGGACACTGAGGTATTATTATTTTTCTGCATTTTGGGTAGCCCAAGATAGCTAATTTAGATTCTTTTTCATATTTTAGCTTAAAATACTTTTGGAAAATACTAGAGTAGGAGAAATTATTTAATTAATATATAATTGAAGTCATACAAAATTTAAGATTGGTGAATAAGGTTTGATTGATAATTAGCTTATCATTTTCAACTGCATATATATAAAATTAGTGTAGTTTGGGCCTAGATTTAAGAGTGGGGGCAATAATTTTCTTAAAGACATATACTGTGTGTGTGCGTGTGTGTGTGTAATTATATATATATATATATATATATATATATATGTGTGTGTGTGTGTGTGTGTGTGTGTGTGTGTGTGTGTGTGTATGTATATATGTGTATGTATGTATATATATATAACAAACCATTTGACAACTGTTGTGATACAGGAAATTACTGATTTATTAAAATTGAAGACTAATGTTAATATGATAAGACTGAGTAGCTGTCTGATTTAGGGCTCACTGGATCCAGGTTTTTTTAAAAACTTGGATGAGGTTTCACTACCCTAAAGAAAAATGATGTACAATTTGGAGGTCCTCATGGACTCACAACTCCTGCTCAAGGAGTAGGTTACAGCTATCGCCAGGAGGTCTTTTACACAACTTCATTTTGTGAATCAATTGCACCCATTCCTGAACCATGAAGCATGGGCAGTTACATGCACATCTCAGTGCACCCAGGTTACACTTCTGTAAACTGCACTGGCTCCAGTGTGGTTCCAGATACTGGTTGTTATCTATAAAGCCCTCTATGAAATGGAACTGCTGGGTTATTTATGGGATTTCATCTCCCCGTTTTCAATTGTCCCACTATGTTCAACAAGAGGAGCATGTTCTGGGTCCCTTCGATTAAATTGTCGTCATATGGAACTTCAGAGGTATGCCTTTTCTGGCTTAGTATCTGCCCTCTAGAATACCATACTCCTAAATATCAGATTGGCCCAAACTCCGCTACCTTTTGTAAAGCATTAAATACCGGGATGTGCCTGAAGATTATGAGATTATAGTCTGTTTAAAGATTTATTTCTGCTATTAGGTTCATCCTTGGTTGAAGATTGTTGGTTTTTTTCCAATAGTATTGTTTTTTATAGTTTTAATATGTTGTTAATTGTCCAGAATTGCATTAACAATGTAGGCAAGCATGTAACTTGATTAAATAAATAATGTTGGAATGAGATACTTTCTTGGACTTTTAAGAGTTAATATTCAAGTAATATTAATAGAGAAGGACTGTATTGTTGTAATAAATAAAATAACATCACTGAATGCAACTCAAATTTGGTTTGCTTAAACAAATACGGCTGGCAGAAAGTTCTTTCTCTCATAATTGCCGTAGCTTTTCTATAGGGTTAAAGTTCTGAGAAATGCACAGGAACAGAAGGAACAAACAGAAGGATTTCTCCATATATATTTATATTCAATTGAAATTCATTTTTAGGATAGGATCTTAATTATTATAATTATGCCAAACAGAATAAAAAGAATCATCATGGTTACACCCATCATTTTATTGTTTTCTGTATGGATACAATTGTGCTTGAACACATACCATAAAGAGATTTTTGGTGTTTTTTAGACCTCTATTATATATGACATCAAATTAAAGGGGGAATTTGATGGCACAGTTACACTGCACCAGCTTGTACTTCCACCTCGATCCATACAGCCATACCAGATTCCTGTGGCAGGTACAGAATTGCATTTTTCCTTTGAAAATGCAAATACTGCATATATTTGTAATTTTGAAGCTAAAATTGCTAGGGTTTTTATTAGTTAAAAGTTATGTTCCAGTAGTCTTAATATTTCATTTTAGTGTATTTCTTGGCGTAATAAGTTCATTGTATTTACTAAATATGAAACAGGATAAACAGAAATGAGCAATCTTTCATTAATATATTATTCTGGTCTTGGGAGAAAAAAGCTTAAAGTTATGGCCTATCGTAGCCATTCTACTTATATTATTGAACCATAGACCATGTTTTTTCTTTTCTAAACGTTTAAGTTTAGAGGTTTGGGAAATAAATAGAAATGAATTTTGAATAGAGTTGTACAAAAGTTTGGTGTTGAAGATAAAATCATACTTAGAAGTATGTATGCTTGTAGCTCCTTCAAGCAAGTATGGTGTTTCAGCTCAGGGGACAACCATGCCAGGAAAAGACTCAACTGCTTTAAGCACACTGAAGGTTGCTACACTTTTTGGAAATTGGTATTTTGATCATGCACCAAATTCATCTTTGCCTTCGAAGTACTATAGAGCCATAATTGTGAAATCTCATCAGCTTCCGACATGCATATCTAAGCAGTGGGTAAACCTTAAATTTGCATGGAAGCTAAACCATTTTAATCTACCATTTTTGTCATGGTATTCTCCAAAGATTGGGGAATAGGTGTTTTATCTTTGTTATAAACCTTCTAGATTCCATTCGAACCTCTAAATTAGTATGGTTCAGTTAATTAAAATATGAACTATTTATCTTCCTGACAATTATCAATAGTTGCTTCCTGGAAAAGTGCTAGAATCCTAAAACTTGCATTGAGGGAAGATGTTACATCATGTAAAACAATCTGCATTCATTGAGTATAACATTTATGAAGTTTGAATTTGCATTGAATATAGTTCATAAGCTGTAATTAATATTTTAAAAGAATTAAATATTAAACTTTTAGAAAGTTAGCTTTTGGTTTGTATCTTTGTTACTG